CAACGATAACGAAGCCACCGATAAGAACAGAATAGATTTCCGTTCAAGACGACCTAAGCGATGTTGCAAAGCTATTACCTGTCGCGGGAGCCACCTCGCTTACTCCTCTTGCTGAAAGTGACGGAATTTCTCTTCTGCCAAGAGACGATATAGCCAGGTCACACAGTCTACCGTGATCCTCTTGTTCTTGCAACCACCCCGAGTGCTCCATAGAGCACACATTTGGATGCGAAGACAGGAATTCGTGGGTAGGGAGGATGGACAAACGCCATAACAAAAGTCTGAAGTCACAACCAGTCCTGATAGGTTGCTCGGGATAGTCAGTGGGCAGCAGAGATGTGCATTCAATCAAGGACTCCGCAAATCTTCCTCGTCCACATGCAGAGAATTCACCAGAAAGACAAAATAAAGAATACCGTGACTACTAACAGTGTCTGGTTGTTCAGGGCTTGTCTGAAGCGAATTCTCTCAGGCCTGAAGACCGTATCTCGGAGGATCTTGCTTTTTTTCATGGTCTACTAAACCAATTACTCCAAGCAAATATGGAAATAAAGGTCCTGAAAGCATTCTGGATAGGAAAAAAGGAGTGAAGACAGGACAGCAGCACCACCATCTTGTCCTCTCAAAATTGTGTTGGAGAACGAAGAGCAAGTCAATTTGATCCTCTCCAAAAAATCCGACCTCAGAAACACGCATAAGCAAGTTATTTTCAACCGGACTACTCACCAGCAGAATGGCTGGAACGTCGGGAGCTCGTCTCGAAATTAAAATCGAGACTGAAGGGTGGCGAACACAACCTGGCCGTCTTCAAAGGGAAAGTACTTAATAAAAATACGCCTTTTCAGTGGAACAAGCCAGTAGTACTGAGAACGATGGCAGCATACGCAAGTAACACAGACACCATCGTGGAACCAGCCGCTCGAGGCGACAACACAAGTAAGTCCTTAACGTGTTCTGACCGAAACAACGGACATTAATGGAACCCATAGAGTACCAGAGGGTCCCAGTGAAAATGACGTCCGAGATAACGCAGTAATGCCCACAGCAGTGACAAATTCAGCCAAAAATTCGGTTGGTACAAAATTGAGGTGCTTTTATACAAATGCCCAAAGCCTCATATCGAAACTAAAAACTTTGCCCTGCCGAATTGCCTCTGGATGTTTTAGCAGTAACCGAAGCCTGACCGCCCGAGAATATTAGCGATAGCGAAGTAACCTTGACAGGATGCTAAAATTATCGGAGGAAAAGGGAAAAATATCAAAATACCAAAATATCAATGAATTACGCGAGCCTGGTAGTCATCTGGTGGATTATAGGTGAATTACTTAGGAAATCCTGCTTGGGCAGTCAACTTACTGTATCAGATTTGGTGGATTCCAGACGTTGCAGTAGGTAGGGCGGGTAACTTGACCCAAATGTGATTAAACTCGTGTCGTCCGGCGGGGCCTCGTAGCTCAGGTGGTTAGAGCGTTGGCTGCGCTAAAGCCTTCCCCTTACTGCGTGGGTTTGAATACCACCGAGACGCCGAGTTTTTCACAGTTGGGTCAATATGAAAGGGTATATCGTCAGGGTGGTGATATAGCTGTGTATGTAAAGGAAAACCTGTCAACGTCGGAAAATACCACCAAGTTTGTGCGCAGCACGGAAGCCATTTGGTTGACAATCGGTGCTACTGGTTTCCCTGTCTCGATGTCCTTACTGTCCACCGACCTCCCAGGACAGACCAAATCGCGGACACCCATCTTTTGGAACAGTCGGAGAGATTTTCCAGTCGACCTAACATCACGATCATGAGCGACTTCAACACACCAGGAATTAACAGGAACACGCTATAAGCGTCAGGTCCAAAATCGACATTCGACTGCGGTTTGCTGAACAAAACATTAAGGGCGGTCCTTACACAACATGTAATGTTTCCGACAAGAACACTTGAAGGACAAAGGACTAACTGTCTGGATTCAGCTTTTACAAAAGCATCAGACAGCATAGGCGAGATCATCTTCATGCCGCACCTCGGCCGAAATGACCATGTAGTGCTTATGTGGGATTATTCGTTATTCTCCACTTTGCATACTCCAGACCAAAAAGACGCAACATTTGGCGCGGCGACTTCGATCAGATGAGGACAGATTTATCCGGTCTCGACTGGAGCTCAATGCTTACTGGTAATGTCAACGATGACTGAGAATTGTTCCAGAATTTCCTTCTGCTTCTCATCAACAACCGCTGTCCACTGACGAGTGTAAGGCAGATCAAGCGGCCTGGGTGACTAAGTGGCAATCTAAAGAAAGAAATTAACAGGAAGCACAAATTGTGGGGAAAATACCGCGCCACTGGGCAAGTTGAGTAGTTCAACACTTACAAGACACAACGAAACAAACTGTGAAGCATGCTTATAAAGACGCGCCGAGAATTTGAGGAGAATTTGCTGCAAAAAGCAACAAAGAACCCAAAATTACTCTACAGCTACCTCAGAAGAACTACAGGGAACACGCACCAAATCTCCTAATGAGGACTAACTGCGGCGTTGAGGTTGATGATAGCAGGGACAAAGTTGCATATTTTAACAGTTTTTCTAATCAGTCTATACAAGCGAGACAATGTTCCTTCTTCAATCCACAGTAGAACTGCCGACCCCGAGCATAAGTAATATATCCTGTTCAGAATGTTTTGTCCTAAGAGAATTAGGGGCACTGAACGAATGGAAGTCGCCTGGACTAGACGAGGTTCCACCCAAGCTTCTCAAAGAACTTGCTGATTAACTTTCTCTGCCTTTGTCTATGCTCTTTCAAACATCAGTTGACACTGGAACACTTCCTACCGATTGGAAGCTGGCATATATTACACCGCTGTACAAAGGAGGTAGCAGGGCATGGACGACAAATTACAGACCCATAAGCTTGACATGCATTCTCTGAAAAGTTATGGAAACGATCATGAAGAGTGAATGGATTCAATTCCTAGAAGTTCATGACTTGCTAGCGAACTGCCAAAAGGGGTTCTGGAAAGGATGATCCTGAACGACAAACCTGCTGCAACCTCTCCAGAGCTGAACCCGAGCTCTTGACGACGGACACTTGGTCCACGTAGCTTTTATTGACTTCCAGAAAGAGTTCGACACTGTGCCACGCCAGAGACTAACACAAACTGAAAAAATAAGAATCAGAGGCAACTTCTTTAAATGGATCGAAAACTGTCTTGTGGGTCAACAGCAGGTTGTGTGAATCGGTCAAGGAAAATCTGATCCTATTTTGGTCGAGAGTGGTGTTCCCCAGGGGTCAGTACTGGGACCCATTTTGTTCCTAATATACGTACATAATTGCACAAGAGCTTTGGACTGCGAAGAAGCAATGTTTGCAGACGACATGAAGATCTGGAGTGTAATTGGGGGTCCTGCCAACGAAGACAGACTGCAGATGAACCTAGATCGGTTGGAAGAATGGTCAACCCATTGGCTCCTGTGGTCTAACGTTGGTAAGCGTAGCATATTTCGCCTAGGCAACACAGTCACATCCACCAACACAAGAGACTACTCTCTGGGTGGTGCAGTATCATGAGACGTCGAAGCTCAAAAGGACCTCGGTGTGCCGACGACGAGCTCCATGAAACCATCCGTTAATTGTTCGAGAGTGGTAAAAAGCGCATTGTCCGTACTGTATGCCATCAAGCGTACGTCTATGGATTTTGACGAGTATGCTTTCTCAAAGACATTCGGAACATTCGTGCGGCCGCACGTGGAATATGGCAGTTAAGCCTGGAGACGGTGGGTAGTTGAAGACCAAAATTGTCTCGAAAGCGTTCAGAGGAGAGCCACGAAGATGGTTAGGGGTCAAAGCTCCATTTCTCATGCAAATCACCTTATAAGTTTGAACCTCCTCCCTTTGAGCTATAGGCAACTTAGCGGGGATCTTTTGCGAGTTTTCTGCATAGTAAAATGGTTGGACTACAGCCTGGCCTTCGAGGATTTTTTGAATTTGTTACCACGACCAACCTCCGAGGCCGCCGTTAAAACTGCGCACTCAGCAGGCAAGGCTCGGTTTGCGGAAGTTCTTCTTCTCTGTTCGAGTGGTCAAACGATGGAAGGTCCTTTCCGCAGATATTGTGATGTGACCATCAATTCAGAGTTTTAGAAATAAGCTCGACATATTTGTGTTCCGAAATGACTAAGAGCGATGAGAGATCGAGCCCATCCCCTGTGGCTCACTCCCATTTTGTCATACCATTATGGGCTCGTTGGAATTATTTCAGCCCAGATAATTTCTCTGTACACCGCATGCAGTTTTACGTTGTAAATAGGGTACTGGAAGGCTAACGTCTGTTTCCCTCAATAAGCTGACCTGATGTATTTATGCAGTCAACAAATGAATGCGACTGCGCCTCGTCTGTATTTCTGGCGGGGAAATTTTACTGTCATAAAAAGTGAATAATCGGCAGTGAACTGGCATGACGCTCTTGCCGGATATCCAGATGTTAATTGAAACACTCTCAAAGGAGTTATGACTGATGTTTGCTTTGAGACTCTCCAGGAAATAGGATCCAAAAGACAAATCTTCCTGCCTGTTTGACACGAAACATAGAAAGGAGGTACACCGGAAGAAAAAAACTTTAGTGAGGTTATGTAACTACGAAACAACCTTTGCATTTTGAGCTGTCTTGCCGAAGGAGAAACAAGGTATGGTCGACTATCCGCAGTTCGCGGATGGACTACGAACCTCGAGTTGTGTAACGGGCCGTCGATAATCCAAAAGTATTATTCCTTTACGTCTACTGCAGGCTAAAGAACAAAGAGACGGTCTCAGTTTTGGATGGAGAAAAATATGAGGATATCATCGAAAACGACATTTAGGCAGAACATTCAGCCGTTTTATCGCAGCTGTCTTCACTGATGAAATGAATTTCGATAAGAATGGATTGTGTACGTGAACAACTGATGAACAAATGGAAAACATCGACTTTACAGAAAAAATGTTGGGAAGGAAATTCCAGCGCTTAAGGAGTGCATGTCTCCAGGTCCGAATCAATTACCGGCAAAAGTTCTGAAGAAGCTGGTATGCGAACTCGACAGAACACTTGCACATTTTTCAGTCGTCCTTTGATAGATACATTCTCACCTCTGATTGGAAAGTGACGAATATATATCTCATTCACATGGGTGGATATAGGACATGTACAAACAATTATCGGCCGGTGAGAATAACGTGCCTTTGTTACAAAGTTGTGGAGAGAATAGTCAAAAGGCCGTCACGAAGTTCCTCTAAGAAAAGAATTCCTTCGATAGTTCCCAACATGGCTTTCATCGAAATCACGCCTGCTTAACAAACATACTCCATTTAATGGGGCAGTGGCCCCGCTCGTTAGACGAAGGAACAAGGGTCGATATCGCCTAAATAGACTTAAAAAAGCCTTTGATAACGTTCCACACGACCGATTACTTTACAAGGTCCGAGAGTCTGGGATAAGGGGTAACCTATTAAACTGGGTAAAGGACTTTCCGACTGGCTGATCACAGTCTGTGTGCATTGGTAGTGCGAAGTCAACGCCAGTGTCAGTTGTGAGTGGAGTTCCCCTATGGCTCTGTGCTCGGACCAGTACTGTTTTTAATTTATTTCAATGACTGTATGAACAGGTTGGACTGCAATGGAGTTACGTTTGCCGATGACATCGGGTTATAGCGATCTGTCAACTGAGAAGAATGATGAACGGACCCTGCAAGAAAGACTGAACCGTCTATGGGAAGGGTCTGACAAGTGACTACTGAAGTTTAACCATGAGAAGTGCGTCGCACTGCGACTCAAAACGAATGGAAGAGCCGATAGAGAGGATCACCAGTACCTGCTTGGCGGAAGGTGCCTTTCAAATGTGACCAAACAAAAATACCTTGGTACCAACATTTTGTCGACTCTTAAACCCACCTCTCAATGTGTTTGGGCAATCGGTGTTCTCTTCACTAATCAACGAACTTTCATAGATACAGACAAAAAGTTATTTGAACAAATCTACGGAGCGTTTATTCGCTCGCAACTGGAATATGAAATCCAAGCGTGGCGCCCGTGGCTGAGAAAAGACTATAAGTTGCTGGAAAAAGTTCGGAAGAGGGCGACAAAATTGTAAAAGGCCTCAAGACTTTACCTAACAGCTGCAGACTTGATGAGCTTAACCTATTTCCTCTTAAACACAGGTAGATCCGAGGAGATCTCATACTGGTGTACCGGACCGTGAAGAACCAGGACTGTGACTTACACCTCGATGATTTCTTCGCATTGGTCACAACAACAAACCTGCGTCGGCACTCTCTTAGTCTTCAAAGATTCCGATGTCACCCGGAGGTTCGCAGGTACTCTTTTTCATAGTGAGTCGTCGGTGCCTGGAACGGGCTTCCCGGGGACATTATAATGGTGGATTCCACGGAGCCATTTAAACAAAGACTAGACGTATATTTGCTTGAAAGACACCGCGCAAATTGACAGAACAGCTCTGTTATACCAAACCGCTGCCTTGCATACACTTACCGCTAATGCCGATGATTTTCATTCCATTCTGCCGTTATCACCTACAAATGAGTGTCCTCGAGTGTCGGTCCTGCATCTTTAAAGACGATATTCTCTAAAATGTCGCATCCCTCATCATATCCCATAGGCCACGCCGAACCATCACCTCGGCAGAGCTCAAGGCCATAAGGGAATTTAAGAATGACGACGAAATTGTCATTGTGCCAGCGGACAAAGGACGGGCAACCGTAGTGCTAGACAAGTCGGAGTACGTTGCCAAAGCGCAGCAGCTACTAAATGACAACCAATCGTATAAAGTCATCGACGCCGACCCCATGAAAGCACTGGTGGGCAAGATCAACAAGAGCCTGAACTAGATGAGGAACGAAAAGGCAATATCAGAAAAGGATTGGAGACAAATGAAACCACAAGATGCTGCCTTAGCGCGCTTTTATGGTTTGCCAAAAATCCACAAGCCAAATTTTCCCCTACGGCCCATTGTGGCGCTGAAAGGTACGCCTACATACGGACTGGCTAAATGGCTCGCCAAACATTTAAAGGGGCTGACAGATGGCTCAGAACACACAGCCGTATCTTCAACACACTTCCTGGAAAAACTCGAAGGGGTTGCAATAGCCCCCGACGAAGTAATGGTATCCTTTGACGTCGTCTCTCTATTCACCTCCATCCCAAAAGAATTGGTCATGAAAGTCATCAATGACCTACTGGAGAGAAAGTACGACGAAGAGGGGAAACCGTTTAAGCGTAAGCACGTGATGGAACTATTGGACTACTGCCTACGCACGTACTTCACTTTTAGTGGTCAAATTTACGAGCAAATCCAGGGAACCCCAACGGGGTCTCCGATTTCCGGCTATCTGGCTAAGGCGGTCATGCAGGAACTGGAAGCTCGAGTCTTTCAGTCATACAAGCCGAAGTTCTGGATGCGCTACGTGGACGACACCTTTGTCATCTTACACCGGGACGCGAAAGACAACTTTAAAAGGCGACTGAACTCGGTCTTCCCACAAATTCAATTAACCATGGAGGAAGAAAAAGACGGAGTGCTTCCTTTCCTCGACGTTCAGGTAACGAGGCAAGAAGACGGAACGCTCCAGACTGGTGTCTTTCGAAAAGCGACAAACACGGAGATAATTCTCCACTACAACAGTAACCATCCCCTGTCGCATAAACGCAGCTGCGTCCGGACGCTTTTTCGCCGCATCAACACACACTGCAGCACAGAAGCCGAGAAGCTGCGGGAGCGTGAAACTTTATGGCACCTCTTCCTGGCCAATGGATATCCGCGCAGTTTCGTAAACAAATGATTATACCAAAGACATACGAGGGCCGACCGTGAGGACACACAAAAGCCAGCAACCTTCCGCGTTCTGCCTTACGTGAGAAACGTATCCGAAGCCACTGAGCGCATGCTAAGGCCACTAAGCGTGGGCGTTGGACACCGACCGGAGGCCACCATCCGCCGCATACTCATGCAGCCCAAGGGCCGGCTACCACCTGCAGACACGTCAGGCGTCATTTACCGCGTCAAATGTCTGGACTGTCTGACCAACTACTGCGGCATGACGGACAAACGTCTGCGCACGCGCGTGCATGAGCACGCCTTAGCCTTAAAGCGAAAGGATGTACGCTTGCACGTCGCCATGCACTGTCTAAAAAATAATCACGCGTTCGACTTTGACGGTGCCCAAGTGTTCGGCCGAGCCGAAAGCAAGCTGGCGAGAGAAGTAATCGAGGCCTGGCAATCAGACGCCAACTCGATTAACCGCAGTGTTGACCTACCAGCGCCATACGAGGCCATCAGGCACCACTTGCGCGCGAGAGGAGGGCCAATAAGAGGAGAGCGGGATCGACCTATCAGGCGCGAGCACGAATGGCCTATTTAAACCATGTATTTCTCATTTGGCCTGTCTCCGATGATGTGCTCGCGTACGAGTATGAAATGTCAGACGATTAAATCTTCCTCCCCAGAGAACGCCTTATCTCCTTCTTTCATCTCTAAATGTACACGTTACTGACAACATTTTAGTACCCTGTTTATTTAAAATTATATATAGCATGTGCCGATTTCAATAGGGGTTTGAAAGGCATTGCCTACTACCCTTAAGGTATACCGACCTATACTTATTTTTCTCGCCTTCCCCACTTCAAAAAAGTCCCATGGAGAGGATACAACTAACTAAATCGCCTGTTCCGGTTGGTGAATTCACAAAAGTTCTGAATGAACTCGCAGACCAGCTAGCCCCACTGATCTCCAAGACCTTCCAAAGTTCAATGGATGCGGGGGCTTTGCCTACTGACTGGAAGCTAACCAACGTAAGTTCCATATATAAAGAGGGAGAGGAAACCTAGCTAAATAGCTTCAGACCAGTGAGTCTCACATGCATTTTTTCAAACTAACGGAGAAAATGATTAAAAAGGAACTGATTAGACATATTGGGGAGAACAACTTGCTTAATGTGCATCAACGTGGATTTAGAGCTGATTAAACCTATTTCACTGACCTGCTCACATCAACGGAAAGCCGGACAAAATCTCTGGAGATGGGTTTGTCTGTAGATGCTGTTTATATTGACTTCGGCAAAAACTTCGACAGGACGCCACAGAGACGGCTCATATCTAAACTGCTCCAAATGGGTGTGACTGGCAACCTGCTCAAATGGTTAGCCGACTTCATCACAGGCCGACTTCAACCTGTGTGCATTGGTGATGCCAAATCAGAGTGAGAAAATGTTCCCATTGGGGTTTCCGTTGGGGAGCGTCCTGGGTCCTATTCTGTTCTTAATATAAGTGAACGATTGCCTTGATTGCCTAACCTACGATAAGGTAATGTTTGCCGATGATTTGAAGATGTGGAGTTCGGCTGACAGCCAGAGGACGCGCTCAACTTGCAAAAAACCTGGATTGATTGCAACAGTGGGGCGATGGATGACTTCTCAACCTCAATTTCAACAAATGTCATTTCATCAGACTAAGGTCTAGTTAATGAAAGTATTTGGGGCCTGAATAGCACTATTTCCTCGGCAGCCTTGACCTCGAGCTTCAAATGAGGTAAGGGACCTTGGTGTGTGGATGACGTCCACTCTCAAGCCCTCATCTCACTGCGCCAAGATAGCAAAGAAAGCTATGGGTGTCCTGGGACCGACCAGGAGATCCTTCCTTAACTCTGATGAAGAGCTTTTCGGTCGACTGTTTGAAACATTTGTCCGGGTGATTTTAAAATATGACATTCAGACGTGGCGCCCTTGGATGAGGCAAGTTTGTATTCTCTTGGAGAAGGTGCAACGAATAACGACTAAACCAGTCGGTGGGCTGAAGAGCCTACCTTATTTTGAACGGCTAGAATGCCTCAAACTTCCCCCTCTCTCTTATGGGCAATGTAGAGAGGACATGATCATGATCTCCAATGTCGTCAGAGTAGTAGACTGTGCGTTTAAAGTGGCCGATTTTTGAACTACCACAAACGACAAATCTCCGTGGCCACTGATATAAGTTGAAGACAAATTACGCCAAAAGTGAAGCACGGGCCAACTTCTCCTCTCCCAGGATGATTGAAGATTGGAACAAATTACTTGGTTCAGTTGCAATGGCGAGAAGTGCACAGACATTTAAACGAAGACTTGATGAACATTTTATATGATGGATGTTGAGCATAAAATAAGGGGTGACTTGTGTCAAAAAACAGAGTGAATGGCCTTGAAACACTGTTTGACTTGTGAGAAGGCTTTATTATTTGTGGAGCCACACTAGCTGTGGGGTTGGGGAGCTTATCAGCAACATTGTATACTTGCATTTTACAGGCTGGTGTGTTAGTGGGCTCCCCAGCTGTGGCGCCTTCTTTAATTGAGAATTCGGAAAAGGAACAGGACTATTATCTGGACTATTATCTGGCTCGTTTGATTTTACCGCTTGGTCAGACTTGAGTGGCCTAGCACGAGTATCGGATGTATGCAATCTAGTTTTATTAACTAAGTCATTATTCTGAGTCACGAAGGTCGACTGCAAATGGACGTTTTGTCCACCTTTACTCCTATGATCAGGTGGCCAGGTAAAATTGGGGGCAGCATCTGAGTAATTATCGCTACCTGAAGATGTTTCAAATTGGCAGGTTTCAACTGAATCTGTGATAATGTGCTCAAATGAAGAGATAGACGGAACTAGGGCCGCCGCAGATGCGGAGAAAATTTGGCTAACAGCAAATGAATGATCAGCTTCAGAAGCAAATGGCAGATGAGTAGACTTTCGGGGTAGCTTTACGTCTGCTAATGAGCAGGAAACTCAGCGTTGCATTTGAGGTTTATCCCGACTAATAAAAGGCTAACTTCATGTAAGATATTGAGCTGAGCGCTCTAAGTGGGGGAGAATAAATTCTTCTTCTATCGACGAGAATAATTTGACAAGACTGTGTCGATTTTTGCTCTCATATGAAGGTCTTTTAGTTTCAGCAACCTTAAAATTGAAGCCACAAGGGGAAAGGGAGTTGAAAGGCGGCATGTATGGGCTGTCTGCTTTTGGAAAAAAATGTTCAAAATAAAGTTGAAACTTCGCTTGTGTCCGTCTTCGGTCTGACTAGCAACCATATGAACGAGAAGCATGAGCTTCTTACATTGCTGAGAAGTAAGTGTTGACAATTGCCCTTCAAGAATGGCGCCAAGAACGGAAAGAATTATCCATAATGAGACATAAATTTATCAAAACTTTGGGCGCTTCTAGGCCTGCATTTTCCATACTGACGATGGGTCTTAAATTGGAAGCTCAGAATTTAGTTTCCTACAGATTTCGGCGGAGGATTGCCTGAGGTTTCATGTCGAAAAAAGCAAAACAAGAGTTTAGTACTGAGTTATCGGGATGGTGGCGGCCGAAAATCTGAAGACTTAAGGATGACGCTACGTTAACAGAGAATTTCGAAAAGCTATCAGTATTCCTAGACCGAACAGCAGAATTGCCACTAATGCAATTTTGCTTAATACTAAAATGTTTCGATAACAAACGGATAACTGACAATTTTATATTTGACGAAGTAGGACTGTGAATAAAATTTGTGTTTAACAATGAGGCTTTATACTGCAATATAAATGAGAGTATAGTTCTCTTTCTAATTGATAAATCGACAGTAAAAGTGCTCAATGGATAAGATTCATCGTTAAAAACATAGTGTTTTTAAATCAGACAACTGTTACGGTCCCCGACGCTGTCGTGTGCACGTGGGTTGCCTGTTTCGGGGTACCAAATGTTATTCACTCCGTCCAAGTTTCCGGCTTCGGAAGCCTCCTTGTACAAGAACTGTGTAGTTGAATCGGCATACAAAAAACAAGGGCTACGGAGTATCACCCACAGGGCAATGGACAGACGGAAAGAACCAACAAATCAATTTTGTCGCTATTACGTGCCTTCATAGACTGTCATTAACGACATTTGAGACAATGTAATTCCTCACTGTCCCCTAACTTATCGCAGCACGATACACAAGTCAACAGGCTTCACTACCTCTAGGTTGACTTACGGCCGGTAGCCTAAACTCCTTTTAGACTCCTGCCTACCTACCACACTACACGAGGACTGGGTGTGGTACTGAAGCCGCACCAGAAATGGTTATACCCCGACTGCCTTAATGCGGGAATAATGGTAAATGGGGTTTTATGGGTGAGGTAGCTAGACACGCCGAATTGATATCTGTAAAGTTGTAAAGAAAAAACGACCATGTTAAGGTGAACAGCGAAACTTTGGAAGAGTTAAAACCCAAGGGCAAACGAAGAGGGTATGGCAATGCATATGGAACAGTTTGCGGAAGAAAACGATGTCAGCACGAAGAATATAAAATGAGGAAGGAAGGTAAGCAGCCAATTACAGTACGCTGCACGGGGTAGGGTTCACTCCCTAAGGTGTTCAAGGTAGGCAATGAGATGGATTTGAAAATGGTCCAGGAAACTGACAATGCTAATGACGAAACGTCGCAAATAATGAAATTATACGCATAAAGGTTTTGTTGGCTAAGTATAATAAAGGCCAATTATATACGTATGATAGCGATAGGCGATAGTTTAATGTGCAGCGATCAGCTATCATGGCCGGTCTGTTGTCATTGTTCAGGACCTCGCTGCCTCAAGATCATCCACCCTTTTGCAGTGAGCCGTTCCAGACGCGCTGATCTGAATTCACACGACCAACAACTCGTGCCTACCTGCGTCCGCGTAGCCGCAGCTGCCCATGCGGCCACTTGAACGTACCTCCCCCTTGCAATCGCAACCTATGCCACTGCGACACCACCACTCTTTAAATGAAACACAAACTGACTGGACACCACTTG